CAAAATGGTTTCCTGCATTTGTAGACTCATGCGAGGAACACAGAACCATGGTCCATTTTTCCTGAACGCTTCTAGGAAGGTCAAAACAGTGGAGAAGAATGGTCCAAAGTTCGATCCTCCGTGATGTCTAATTTTTGCAATTTATGTTGGCGCCTCCAAATTGTGTCCAAATGGCACCAGCGTCGATTAACATGTCATCCTCGTAATTTGGCGACAATTTGGAGGCTCCAACATGGATTGCAAAAATTTGTCACCACGGCGGATTGAACTTTGGACCATTTCTTCACCACTGTTTTGAGGTTCCCAGAGTGTTCAGGAAAAATGGACCATGGTTCTGTGTTCCTCGCATGAGCCTCTACAACATGCAGAAACCATTTCGGAAAAGCGCTCCATGTCCTGAAAGACCTCCTTGTAAGTGCAACACACCAAATCACTGGTCCAATATAAAAACTAAAAAAACATAACAGATCACATTGGAAGACAGAGGCAAGGCTGACGGCAACTTTGATGAAATAATCTCGAAGCTAAAAATTCGAGAAAAGGAATGGAAGGACCGAAAACACGAGCCAGCGCATAGCGCTTTATCACGTCGTACTTACGGCCTGATAAGCGAGGGTTGGCGTCGTTTCACGTCAAGGCCTTCAAAAGTTCACGTTGTTTGAAGGCGTCAACTCATCGAGGCTTCTTGCCTGTTAAGTCAACAGCCAACTGAAGAAAAACCTCCTTCCTTCGACTAAAAACCACTGAGTACGATTTTTTCCTTTGGTTATTGGATATGAAATGCGAAAATAGTGATTGCATCAAAGAGACAATGTGATAGAAGTGCACCTAGGGATGCGCCATGCATTCGCTTTTCACGTAAAATGTTAGGAACAATGGAGAAATGCATGAATGTTGCATATAGATAAAATGAAGCAAAGATCTTTTGAAAATGTCACTCAAAGGCAGCGTTATCATTGACACAATAACACGAGCTGAGTACATATAAACAGCTGCGATCTGTGATAAGGAATGGAAAACGATTACTGATAACGAACGGAAGCAAAACAAACGAAAAAGAGATTCCAATCGATATCGAATGAAATGAACGCTATCCTTTCACAACAACAATGACAACAATGATAAAGGTTTATTGAACATTTTCAAAATCACATGAATAGCTTGAAAACGATGACCGATCAAAATCGGCTACGCTTCACCTTTACTTACATAAAACCGTGAAGAAACAAAAATACTTGTGTGTACCGTATAATTACCGTACTGAAACAATTATAGTTATGTATACCGCACAACTATAATTACAGTAACTCAGGACGAGTTTCCGATCGAAAATTGTGTCCGCAATACAGTTCGGTAACGGGACTGAATCCGGGCCGCTCAAGAAAACCAATATGGACTGAAAGACCCTGCCCATATGGACCACAAAGACCGTCAAGCAGAGGGTCCAGCAAATGTCGAGGTTGCTGATGCTCAAGCCGGAATAACTACTCCTGCTAATATTCCCTGAACCTTTCAGCGATAAGAAAAGAGTTGCAGTGTCTCGAATTTAAGCGAGTTAACAAAAGCGTTCGTCGTTCCACGTCCAAGCGAGCAGCCCAACAGCGTGCTTATATACATGAACAGCAAGCAAGAACAGCAGTGGGATAGTCGAGTGGTCCAGAGCGCAGACACGTACACATCACGCCATGGGTTCAGTCCTTGTCCCTCACAAGCATCGCAGCTGAGCCAGGCGACCTCAGACCAGAAATATCCTACGAAGTTTTGAAGAGCTAAGAGATCAGGCGTAATACGACCGAGACTGGAGCCCCTTCGAGATCTCTAAATAGCGGATCTTCAACAGCCCCTTTCTTCTGAAACCGTTTTGAATTTCTTCCAAAGTGATTTTCATAGGCTAGAATAACTCTTGCTCTGAGCCCTGTTTAAGGCACTTATACGGTTTAATTCATTCTATTTGAAATAAGGAGTAGCCAAGAAGCCAAGAGCACCCCCTATTTCAGTCTTGAAAAGACAGTCATGATCGGCTGCGCCCACAGTATTTACTTGAGTATGGCAGTTTTAATATGCTCAAGAACTTCGAGATCGAGAATAACACCAACCTGTCCATAACTATTTAACGCGCGAACACCTCCCCCCCCCCTGGATGTGACGACCCTGCGCTCATGACCTCGTTATGCAGTAATCATGTGCAGTCACGGTCCTAGTCAGGAATAAGGTGCAAAAAATACCCATACTACAACCAGATTACATATCCATGTCTTTACTGAACGATAAATCGATCACAGATAACTTCAAATGAATAACAGTAAATAAGCATCAATAAGTCGAGCAAAAAACACCACCACCGGTCATTTTAGTTCTCTATCCAACCCACTACTCATGGCGAACCCAAAATGTGCAGTACAGCTTGCGCACGTGGACATAGGGTTAAACTCGACGGTGGCGAGTGACCACGACGCGATCTGCCAACTTGAACTAATAGCGTCGCAGTCTCACACCTCCCGATCTATCAACCCATGGGCCCACACTTGTGAGTTGAACTGAAACTATCGAATTTTGAAATTTTAACTATGCTATACAATCACAGATTCAAGGACTACATTATGCAGTAATTAGCTACGGCACAGGTTGGGAAATCAGGCAAGCGTTCAAATATATATCCAATGGAATATTACAGCAAATAGTATGCACAAATTGTTGACCAGAAAATAACAAATCAGTCATCACGGAGCAATCCGGGCGTTGTCGTGGACATAGCAAATCTGAAAAAAGACACAATGCACACAACACAGCCCATGCTCTTGAAAGGTCAACATCAATACATAAAAAGTGTTCAAAGGTAAGAAGGGAAAACACAGTGCCTTCGACAAAGAGGGTAGAAGTTCTAGTTGAATTCTCTTCTCTAATAATGAAAATCCAGCTCACAAAAAGACCTGACTTTGAGAGCACGCAGAACTTGGTTTGCACTTCGGAAGATCAATGCTGTGGTCTTAACCTTCTGGATTTCACTTCCGCTGATAATGCATGTGTTGAAAGGACAGAAAGGACAAGGCGTCACTGATCGCCGAATCACCTCTGTACAGTATATCAAACCTCACCGGGACTAATTAACCTAAACCCTTCAGGCCGGTCAAACTTCAGATTTCCATATAAGAACAAAACCATGGAACCGAACCTCGGCAGGATTTTGCATATCACCATAGACAAGTGTATATGTATGTGCTAAACATTCATCAAAATGCCTTACAAGGAAGGTCTTTCAGGGCAAGGTGCGCTTTTTCAAAACGGTTTTGTGCATATTGTAGGGACGCATGTAGGGAACGCAAAACCATGTTTCATTTTCGCTGAACGGTTATAGCAGTACCAAAAAAGAAGCATAAGGTACTGTTAAGGGTTCGATCCCCCGTGGCGACTAAATTTTTGCATTTGTGTTGGCGTCTCGCGTTGGGATGCAAATCTGCGCTAATATCAAATCAAGATGTCAATTCATCGCCAGATACGGTTTGGTTCGTACAGTTCTGGAGCCAACATGTTGGCGCACTTGACAAATTTAGCCGCGCTGAGAGATTGAACATCAAGATGTATTCTTCACACTTTGTTGTTTCGGCTAAAACCATGAGCGAAAACGATAACATGTTTTTGGCCAGTTCCGAATACATGCGGCCTTACAACCTAAACCGTTTCCAGAAAGAGGCGCCTTGCTCTTGAAAACCGTCCATTGATAGACTGGGATAACAGTATAGCTTATCCACTTCTGTCATCCTGTAGTCGTTACAGGTGCGCTTGTATAACCGACAAATACTTGGACTAATCATACCTTATTCAAAAGGAAAATAATGATATCAACATCCACTAATATCCAATCTTTGGATATCTAACTGTAGCACTTCAACTCCTCACCCCTGCGAAATGATTAATCCTGGATGAGCAGCTAAGAAAGTGGCGTTGATTTTGGCTCCTAGGGTGCAACGGTACGTGCCATGGCGGGTCATACCGCGGATGGCGGACGTAAATCCAGATAGCGAGGCATTAAGCGACAAAGAAAATAGTTGAACTCTTCTCTACCCAAAAATTCCTATGCAACATCGGTTTCAAAGTATTTCCTCTAGAGTGTTAGCCAAAAATGCAAGAACCAGAGAATTGGGCAAGAAAAAAAAACATGCAACACGCATCATTATGAAAAACGTGCTATGTATTGAATGTATCCCTTCGAAATAATGGATACCTAACTGATGCATTGGTATGGGCTCCAGTTAAAAAGAGCGCCTACCAAAATTTTATATTGCTGAATGAGGTTCCAAGAATTAATAGAAGATCGATTTCCGCAGAACATAGCCAAAACCTGACCTATGCCATTTCTTCAAGATTGTTAAACCTATGATGCATGATATAGCCAAGACTAGCAAGAACAGATACGATAATACGCAAACATGCCATATTAGCTGGAACGGGTTCATATGAACTGAACTTGAAAAGAAAGTAAAACGATCTGCAGGTTGCAATGTTCTTTGGAAGAAGAAAAAAGGCGACGTCGCACTGCCCTCTCCATTCCCATTCGCAATCGTACATCCAGCTGAGTTTTCTGATTGTGAGCGCAGAACAGAATAAGTTACAAGACCAGCTGAAGCTCTGCTACTTTGATCCTCACAAACAACCATAGCACGCTCTACTACTTTGATCCTCACAAACAACCATAGCACGACACGCAGTTAGCTGCTTCCTCAGAACTGAAGGCATGGCTGATCTGAGCAGCACACGATCCCACTATGCACAGACATAAAACGCTATTCGCACCGATAAGGTAGCGAAAGAGTTGAGGGCCAGATCTTTTTCACAAGCTTATGTAAACAAAGCCAAAAGAGGACCAAACCCAAACAGTCACAGAACAACATGCAGAAAAACAAAAAATAATCAATAGATTCACCAGAACAAAAGTGACTCGTTGGCATTGTTCCAAACAAAACGATATATACGCAAACTGCTCACCTATACATGAAATGTTGTTATTTGGCCTTCCAAAACGGGTCGAGTGAATTCAGTGGATCATTGGGATCTAGTTGAGGGAGTGGGACGTCACCGCCACTACGGATATGCTCATGGAGTTGGCGTTTTTCCAAGCGTGCTTTATCTCCAGGACCCAGTTCGAATTTTGTCGGATCCAGGATATCTGTTAACGGTAGTACGCGCGGAGTCTGCAAACAAACCACTTGAAATTACTTTAGAATGAGATGCAGAAAGTGTTAACACAGCAAAACAGTAAAAAACAAGGCGATAATGGAAAGAAGTAGGCATCACAAATGCATAGACAGACAATGTATGTTCCTCCACTCTATTTTATCGCCCATTTCGGGAGGGGTTCGATTTACACTAAAAAGCGCCAC